ACGCCGGGGGCGCCCGGGGGCCGGCGAGAACGGGGCTGTTTTTGTTTCATTGTGGAGATGAAGCCTCTGCTTGCTGAAGCGAAGACAAAATACAGTCTGCCTGGTTCTCTCAGGCTGTAGGCTGATTCTGTGGCGCTTTTAAAACACGAGAGTTCCAAACTTAGGCTTTTAAAATGTGTCCCATCCTGTGTGTTCCTTTGGGTCTGTGATGACTTCCGTGAAGAGGAGTCTTGTGGGTTGGGCTGGGAAGTTCTGAAACCCTTTTCCAGGCCAAAAAAAGAAAAAATACTAGTTATTTTTCTGAGCTCCAAGGTCTTCTCTACTACACAGAGAAAGTGTGAAAAGAAAGAAGCAAATAAGGGGGCCGGTTCTCTGACTTTATTTCAGACATTAAGGTTCATGTGCATATTGGGGTAAGATATGGAAATCTGTCTTAATTTTTATCAAATTTTCCCTTGAGTGACTCAGCTAAAAAAGCACCTCCGGCGTTTTGGGCACACGCCAGAAACTTTGCTTGTAAAATCCGTGCAGGTTTCCAGTTGTCATCACACCCCAGTCGCCGGGGGCCAGCGTTCACTTCCAGCTCACTGGACGCAGCCTCGGCAGGGCCGGGGCACAGCTGAGTAAACATGCGAGCCCGGCGTGTCCTGCTGGCGTCCCGCGGTCACTGTCAGCCCATCCCAGCACCCCCCACGCAGCTCCCACGGGTCCCAGACAGTGCCCTGCGCATGCCGAATGCGCCCAGAAGGTTATGGTTAAAGACTCTGGAAAGGGAGAGGGAGGGGGGTGGGGGGAGAGCGAGAACTGAGTGTCTTGAGTTTCCACCTCAAAGACTGATTTCTGAGGATACCGGAAAGCTCTTTTAGTAACAGGAGCAGGAAGAACAGGGCCTGGTTCAGGTGTGTATTTACACATGCACACACTCAAGACACACACTCAACCCAGAGCGTTTAGAGGGACCAGGTCAGTATTGTGATCAGCAGAAATCAAGAGCAGCTGGGGGAGGCGGGTGGTTAAGTGTCACCTTTCCCACCGCATCGGAGAGGTGACCCCCTGCACAACGATGAGAAGCCTGAGCTCTGCTTGGTGCAGTTTTCTGTCTGCAGCCTCTTCTGGGGAACCCAGAGCACAATGTGCTTCCCTCTTTACACGAAGCCCCCTCCCAGGCCGGGGAGTCTCAGTGAAGGCTTTGCCAATTGAGGAGGTATTTTATTGTTTTTTAAAAACACCTCGTCTCCAGGCGTTCACACCTGCCTTCACAGCACCTCCGTGGGCTTTGTTTTTTGGCTGTGTTTCGGTTTGGTCTGGATGCTGGGCCTTTTCTTTGGCCACAGGTCTGCTATTTGGAGAGTGGCTTCCCTGGGGTTCTGGGAGACGCAATTCCACGAATGAGCAGTTCAAACAGACTTCAGAGTTGGAGCCTCTGAGGCCAACTCCAGAGAAGAGCCCTCAGCACCCTTCTGCAAATATCTGTTGTGACTGAATGTGAGACACTTGACTAGAAATGACTTCAGGAAAACTCACATAATAAAACAAACAAGGTTTCATACACCAGTCGTGCTTTCTCGCTGAAAGTCCTTAATTTTACACACGTCTCACCGGGTTGAAAGTAGGAAATGGTGGAGATCTGACTGCCGTCGAGCTACCAAACTGGCGGTTTCCTGGGGGTCAACCCAGTGTATTTAAGGCTGAACTGGGTTCCCTTTATAGGCCTTCAAACTCAGGGGAGGAGCTGTTCTTCATACCTAGATACCTAATAACCCGTATGTCTTATTCACTGAGCTCTCCAGCCCTGAAAAGGCAAAGTCCCTGTTCCCACCAAATCTGAGTCCTGTCACCTGTAAGTTGTGGAGGGAAGTGTGGTGGGTGCCACGACACCAAATAGCCCTGCTGTGAAACGCAAATTCCAACGGCCTCTCTCTCTCTCTCCTGTAAACAGGACGCGGAAACACCTGACGCCCGACAGAGGAAGTCAGAGCCAGGCTTCTGACGGATAAACGAGGCGGGCCGGTCCAGCGTGCGCAGTGGCTGTGTTTCCCTAACGCCCACCTGGCCAGTGAATTATGCCCGCCTCCACCGGTGACCGTCGTGGTGGCAGACACACCAGGGGAGCCGCGCACACACGAATTCTCCAGCTGACCATTCATAAACGTTAATCGCGAAAGCGAGTCAGTCAAAAAAGCAAGCTCCGGAGGTGGGGGGCGGCTCTCTGTAAAACACGGAGTTAAACTCAGGATTGGAAAGTGTTGACCGCAGCCTGTCTCCGATTCGTTGGTCCTCGGAGGCAGCGATGTGGTGCCATGTGGAGTGATAAACACTGACTCAGGAAGGAAGGGCACGCGGGGCCCTGGTTCCCTACAAGTACCTGGCCGCTCAGTTCTGCGGAGCAGGACCTGCAGACAGAGCGGCGGCTGCGGCTCCAGGGCTGTCCCGCCCACCGACTGAAGCATCGCCGCTCGGCGGGGGGCTGAGCCACAAAGACCCTGGCAGGCCGCCGCCCGGCGGTAGCGCAGCCGGGTTCACAAGTTCAGCCGAGAGCGCGCTCGAGTCGACACACCCCTTTCGCTGGAGAGGAGAGTGGGAGGGCGCGAGGGGAGCGGCGTGTGAGCACAACCGAGCGTGGACACAAGTGAAATCTGATCGCGCGCCAGGAAAAGCGTGCGGAGCCAGAAGCCCCAGAGGGGCGAGC